AAATTCTTCTTTTAAAAATTTGCTGTAAGTTCCACCACAATTTTATCCAAAAGGCCTTAATAACCTTGCAAGTCCACCACATATGAAAAAAAGTTGCATCTTGTTGTCCACACCTCCAGCACTTGGATTCATAATTCTCATAAATGCGAGACATAGTTGCAGGATCCATGTGCCATCTATAAAACATTTTATAAAAATTTTCACGTAAGTTTTGAGCTTGCGTGAATTTCACATTTCTCACCCAAATCAACTCCCAGGTATCCATAGATATTGTTTCTCCTATATTTTGAGCCCATTTAATCATACAATCTTTAACTAGCTCAGTTTCTGAATCCAATTCTAATAAAACATTGTATATCCTTCTGATATGTCCTTTAGCATCATCCCTTACTTGTTTCAAAAAATTCTCATCTTCCATAAAAAAAGCAGTTTTTTTATCAATTCGCCATCTCGTTGGCTAAGAATTCTGTAAGAATTGTAGTTACAGAATGTCTGTCTGGTACAATGTTATGGGAAGCTGATTTATTGTAGTACCTTGCAGCTGTGATATCCCCAGTCCAAGAAAGGATTTGACAATAAAATTATTTTAGAGTATAACATACGTGTCATTTATATTTTTAGACAAAATGTGAAGAGTATTGGCCAAACAAACAGTCCAAGAACTATGGGGATATAATGGTGGCCATGACTTCAGAAATTTCCCTACCTGAGTGGACAATAAGAGATTTCTCCATAGAGCAAGTAAGCTATGATCATATATTACATTATTCTCTCTTGATAGAAGGAAATTATCTGGACTTTTGGCAATCGGGGCTAGGACAGAAACTGCATAGATGACTTGTGGCAAAGCATGGAAAATGGAAGCACAGCCATTCTTGTCTTACTAGGCAGCTTGGCAGCCTTCAGTATTGTGAAGCACAATATCCTTCCGGGCTTCTTAGAAGAGTTGGGAGTGGATGGGAGGCATTATTTTATGGTAATTCCACTTCTTTTTGGGCAGACAGGACTGTGGTTGTGGGGTCCTTGCAGGCATCACAGGAGCACATGGGGATCGTGGTTAGGATAGCCTTTGTCCAGCTTCAGGGGGTACCTCCACTGCAACCTGATCTAGAACAAGATCACTTACACACTTGCCCTTTCCAGCTTGATTGCTGCCTTTTACTGTTCATGGGGTTGCCCTTAAAGGTTACTGAGTAGCCAGGGGTCAGTTGTGTTCAATTGTATGCCCTCAAGAGAATAATGAAACCTGACCCCATGCTAGTGGTGATCAGCAAGTGGTTTTTTGTAGATGCTGAATAGAAGTAGCCCTGTAATTCCCCTCCCCCTTTATCACTTACGATAGAGTAAATATTGTAAAACTGGATCTGATAGAAAGATTTTTTTCACAGTTGCACCAAGATTGGAGTTGGGCCACAGTTGCACCAAGATTGGAGTTGGGCAATGTGTAGTTTGTTCCTAGAGCTAAATGTAGTATTTTTCTACTTGCTTACCTATTTACTTATTTTAAGTCAATACTTATTTTGCCTTATCTCAAGGAATTTGGACAGGAAAAAGTTGTTTTAAAGCCCTGGAGTTTGGAGCTAGGAAAAAACTTAACAGTTTTTATTAAGACCACATGTGCCATAATGCAGAGATTACTCTTATTTTTTTTAACTCATTCCAGATACGAACAATATAGTACTTCTATATACATAGGTTTCAAAATGGGGAAAATAAATTATTCCATGCCCCAAATTCAGAGGATAAATCGTTTTCTTAAAGACCATACTAAAGCTACATATAAATGCTTGTTTGCCTGCACCTGAACTGACCATATTTAATTCCAGTTAACCATCTTTTAGCATTTCCATAAAAAAAAAAATGTTGAATAGAAAATTTAGATCACGAAATTTATGTGGTTCTTAAGTGACCTCATAAACACAGGGGGAGGGGGGTGTTTTTGTTTGTTTGTTTCCCTGCTGTATTTTATCCTTACCAGTTTGTCTCTCCTGCTACAGCTACTCTTGGATCTAATTTCATTCCTGCTGTTTTTGTTTCCAGCTATGCCAACTTCTGCCAACCTGGTGCCCCCAATTGTGCAAAACACTATTCCTAGAATTCCCAGTGAGCTTTGTTTTCAGCTGGGGGAGGGCACCAGGTTGAGGAAAAATGTACCTTTGCCCAGATAGATTTGATGTGTCTCTCTTTTCTTGTCTCCAATGTGCATTTCCTGGGTTTGCTATCCCAGGACCCACAGTAAAAAGTAGTCACAATCAACCCCTTTAATAACACATCTGAACAAAGCTTCTTCTTCTTCTTTTTAAAAAAACCAGAAAGCAAGTTGCCAGGAGGCATCTGCAGAAATAATTTCTTTGTGAGTTCTAACTTCTCTTCTGTATTTTGACAAGAGTGATTCACCGGAAAGTCATCCTGTGCGTCAGTTTCACTTCACTGCCTGGCCTGATCATGGGGTTCCAGAAACCACGGACCTTCTCATCAGCTTCAGGCACTTGGTCCACGAATTCATGAAGCAGAAGCCCCCGTCTTCTCCAACCTTAGTTCATTGCAGGTGCAAATATAATATCTTTACCAACATTGAAATGTGATCCTGTGTAGTTGTGCTTGTGTACAATGAGAGTGGCTGGCTTGCAAGGATATTCATGGGAACAGCTGCTTTTAAAATTATAAAAATCAGGCAATGAGCTAGGAAGTGAGGGTGGCATTTGCAGGGTGACAATTTGAATTCAACCCACCCACTGTACACTGTACACAAGGCGCACACAATCTTTTGACTTTTACCTTCTTAAATTGTCTGAACAAGGGAAGCTGTTTTATATTATCACCGGTATATTTGAGTGTTGCCTTCTCATTTTTCTCCATGGCTAAAAGGCAGCATGTATTTACTTTTAAGTAATTGGGGTGCGTTCGTCAAATAAGAGCAACCAACTGCAGTTTTTGACTTGATGGCATCTAACTAGTTGGTTTAAAACAAAGCAAATTTGAACTATGATCAGTTGGCTAGTAAAGAGTCCTGCTGTCACTGGATGAATCCCATGGAGTGGGATGAGAGCTGTATATATATTTCCAATATGGTAGCATTTGCATCGAGGCATGTATCAAGAGAGAGACAGCATGTGCGTTAGGGTGGGTGCCCCTTTGATAAGTTGTACAAACTTCGAGATGAAAGAAACTGTCCCTCTTGGTTTAATTTAACGTGTCTATTATTGTGTCACTGAGACCATAGAGTGTTGCTGGCTACCTCAAGTGGCAGAATGTTTTTCAGGTTCATGGAGTCCAAAATAAACCAGATGGAAAGTGTAGGTCAGCCCCCCCCCCAGCTTTAAACCATTTTGTATTAAATCCGTAGGGAAGGAAAGGATCAGGATTCACATCCCACAGCTTGTGCTGTGGGAGGGTACTTCATTTCCTTTTTCATGCGCTGTCTGCTAAATTGCCCTTCCCAGGATACATTATCTCATTCTGTAGAGTCGACAATCAAAACATAAAAGCAAACCCGTCGTTCAACCTCTAGCCCAATTTTCAAAAAACAACCCAGTCAAACCTAGGGGCAAGGCGGCGTTTTCTTCTTCATCCATTTTGAAACCCTGAAGGCCCTGGAAACCCTCCCCTGAGCACGAGGTGCTTCGTTTTTAAAAGAAGGAAAGCCACTTTAGGGCTAGCTAAAATGTTATACAGGTAGCCCTCGCCTTACAACCACAACTGAGCCCCCAAATTTCCATTGCTAAGCAAGACAGCTGTTAAGTTAATTCTGTCCCATTTTATGACTTTTCATGCCACAGTTGTTAAGTGAATTACTGCACTTATTAAATTAATAACACAGTTGTTAAGCGAATCTGGCTTCCCTGTTGACTTTGCTTGTCAAAAAGTCGCAAAAGGTGAGCCGGGACACTGCAACCATCATAAATATGAACCAGCTGCCAAGCATCCTAATTTTGATGACCATGGGGGGATGCTGCAACGGTCGTAAGTGTGAAAAATGGTCATAAGTCACTTTTTTCAGTGACGTTGTAACTTCGAACGGTTACTAAACAAATTGTTGCAAGTCGAAGACTCCATGCATGTATATACTGGCTTGGCTATTGCGTTTGGTAAACAGATAAAAAAAGTCTGTTTCAAGTCAACGTCAGTTCCTGGTGTCTTCACAGATACAGTCATGAAGTTTTCTTAATGATAATGCAGAAATGATTTACCACTGCCACCTTCTAGTATAACTTTTTTTCTTCCCAATTTCCCAGTCTACCATGGAGCCATAGGATTCGTAACAATCTCCCATCCATGTAATCCAGAGATTTCCCCCCCATAGTCAAGATGGTGATGATGATGTTTTTGTTTACATATAGTAGATTATATTTATGTACATTGCCCTCTAGTCCCTGGAAAAAACGTCACATAAACAGGGCGGCTGTACAACTGGGGCATTATTTTCCTTCCTTTTTTCCTTATGTAGAAGAGAGGAAATTAGGCTGTGCTATTTTTAACTTAGATTGTAAAAGTAATGCTTGAGAAAGATAGTAAAAGAATGAGATGAAGGTATTCAACCCTGTGCATTTTTTTAAAAAAACAGCGCCGGTGTTGGGAGGACAGGAACTTTCATTGCGATTGACCGTTTGATACAACAAATGGAGATGGAGAACACTGTTGATGTGTACGGCACTGTATATGATCTACGAATGCATCGATCTCTAATGGTACAAACAGAGGTACGGGCAGACTGCTATTCTAAGCATGCAAAACAAGAATTGGATATAGGAAGTCCTCAACTTACCACTGTAACAGCAGAATTAGGGTTATAAGACATGATGCTTGTTAAGTGGGTCACCACATGACAGCCCCCAATTTTACGACCTTTTTTGGTCATAAAATGCCAAAAATCATGCAGGACACTGCAGATGGCTGTAAATGCAAGCTGGTTGCAAGCACCGAACATGCAATCATGCGACTGGGCATGTGTGCAGCCAATGAAACTTCAGAACTTTAAAAACGGGCCTGGGCAGAGGACTACCACTATGTCATTATTATTAGGTCTGTACGGTGCTTTGGATTAAATCTCCAAAGTGCTTCAGAGTATGTAGCATTTTTTGGAGACTGAGTCCAAGGTGTTAACTCAGCCCCTAGTCATGATTGTGGTTTTCTCTTTAAACTGATGATCCATCATCTAAAACCTTTGGTAAACATTGCATTGTTTTTTTTCCCCCTCTTAGGACCAATATGTTTTCCTAAACCACTGTGTTATGGATATTATTAAATCTAAGAAAGAGAAGAAAGCGGATCTCATCTATCAGAACACAAATGCCATGGCAATCTATGAAAACTTCACACCATCATCACCATATATTGGGAGGGCAAATGGCTACCACGTATAACTAGAAAGGAATGACTTGGTTCCCATTTGGGCCCTTTGCAGAGGAGAGAAAGAATATGCACTGCTTTTGTATGACTTTATATACAAAGACTTCAGCACCTGTTTTGAAGATACACGTGTTAAATTGCCAGTGGAAACTATGGATTCAATATAGTGTTAAAAGAAAAAAAAATCTATACTGTATTTTGCAGAGAATTACATTGAGGGTTGATAAAGCAAAATATTATTGGTGAAATTAATGTTGACTGAATAATAAGAATGAAAAACACAGACACTTTTAAATTATTTTTTAAACATGTTCATGTTCAGACTTCATAGGATACTGATTCTATTGTTTGTGTTCCAGAAATATTAATGATGTATATTGGTCACATTAACATTTAAGTTCCACAGTGACTTCTCAAATTCATTTTATTTAAAATGGGAACACATAAACCTTTTATAAATAGGATATTTTATTATGTAATTGTGCCTTTCTATTTTGCTAAAGACAAAATAATCAGAGATCTATATTTTTGTATTGAAATTCTCAGATGATGTCTAACATTTGAATATGATTATTTTCAATTTTTTATCTGGAATACCTATGCTTATTCCTGCCTTCTGGAAGTTGCAGCCATTCATTTATATGATGCTTTATTCTGCAGAAAGTTTATTGCAGAATTCATTTGCTCGGTCTTGTGAGCACAATAACTATCATATCATATTTTGGCTTTCTTATAGGGGTAAATTAAAATTTATCCAATGCTATTTTCATGTATTGAAAATATTTCCCACTTTTCTAAAAAAAATTGATGAGAGTTACAGGCGTATTCATAGGCTTTCCTTGGCCTTTGAAGATCTGTTCCTCAATGCCATTTTCTTCTTTGACCTCAAGTCTTATGATGCAGGATCCAATCTGGGTCCAGCATCAGGAACCAGAGGTTTGTCTGCTGAGCTTTTGGACTTGTGCTAGAGCCCACCCTCAGGGAACTTTTCTGGCTAGAAAGCTTGACCAACCCAAATTGGATTTGCAACATTATCCTGGGACATGTATATTCGCCTTCATTCATCAGTTTTATGTGTCCGTATTACCTTTTCATTGGTGTGTGTATTCGAGATTTCATCTATTGTCCTAATTTGGATGCTTAGCAATACTTGTAAATATCTGTTCTTGATCATATTTGACAATAGCATGGACAGTGCAGAAGAATATGGTGTCGAGAAGTAACAGTGGTTTATGAAACAAAAGGAAGTCAAACTCTTACTTTGTGAAAATATGCTAATTTCTAAACAGATATCAAAATAAGGGATGTCCAAGTAGCCATCAATACTTGTGACCTCAGGTTTTAACTATTAGGGGTGTGCAACTAATAATGCAAAGATGGGGAGGGTGTGTGAGTGGATTGACTTGATTTGATTTGATTTCCTGTCAAATGTAATGATTTTATCAAGTTTTTTCAATTCATAGTTCTGCAGGCTAAAGTTTTTAAGTAATATCTCCAGTGATCATTGCTTTACAGGTTGTTCTCGACTTAATGACCACAATTGAACCAGGACTTCTGTTGCTTAGTGATGCAATATTAAGTGAGTTGTGCCCAATTTTGTGAGGCTTTGCCTTAGTTGTTAAATGGATCACCATAGTTGTTAAGCTAATCCAGGTTCTCCTATTGATTTTGCTTGGGAAGTTTGTAAATCACAATCGCATAACCCTGGGATGTTGCAGCCATTGTAAATACATATTAGTTGCCAAGTGCCCAAATTTTAATCATGACCGCAGGGACATTGCAATGGTCATAAGTGCAAGGACAGTCGCTTTTTTCAGTGCTCTCATAATTTTGCACGGTCATTAAACAAACGTAGTCCTCCTTCCCCTACACCCATTGGGCAAAATAGATTTTCTTAAGGATCATGGCATTCACTTAACTGCCACAAAACTGCCATAAAATTAGGTCCGATCAGGTGATGACCTGCTTAATGACTGCAACAACTTAGGACTGTAATTTTCAGCTCAATTATGGTCATAAGTCGAGGGCTACCTGTAGTAGTTTTCCACGCAGAAGCAGGAATATCAAAGGTGGAGTTTATGGGACTTGAGACTATCACATCAATGGCTTCCTGCTTGACCATGATAGTTCAAGTGTCTCAGTCATGGCATCTTAGTCAGATCTTCCAGAAGATTTTTAACAGCATTTTTTTCCTATTTTAAAAAGTAGTTTTTCAATATGCCTAGCACAAGCCTCCTTTTACCTACTTGACTTAAAAGTTTAGGAGGCTTCATTCCTTTATCATGGGGGCTACATTCAGAGTTTACACCTGGCCCCCTTCTCGTCACCATTACATCACTTACATTCAGTAACAAAATGGCCACTTTTCAGCCTCACTTGCTGAAAGGAGTGGAAGTATAAGCAGGATGTCTCTGGGAGATGGCCCACTCCCATTTCGTCTCCGGACACTCTTGCAAATGATCTGAAATGTAACCCTTTTGCTATCAGGTTTCATTGGTGTGTTTTAGGGGCATTAGGGGAGAATTTGAAAAGTTTTCAATTAGAGGAAAAATATTGTTCACCCCCTCAGAGGCTTCTACGCTTCTCAAGGAGGCCAAATTTGAGTTGCATCCTTCCCTTGCTGCCTCTAAGGGGAGCAACTACCATTCTTTCGATTTTCATGAAGTTACTTTAAAAAGGCAAAAGAATTAAAGAATTAAAAAGAATTTAAAAAGGCAACAGAATTTGATTTCCAGTTGCACTCAGTGGAGGCATTGAAATTTGCATAATTAAGTTTCATATTCAGATCTCAAGTCAAACCAAGGATTGGATTTGCCTTTTTCTGAAGCAAAGCCCAAATTAAATCTAACCAACTAGCTATTTTAAAACTTGTTATTGTGTTGCAAACTGTAGTAATAAACCCATTTGTGATTTCCCATTAAGTCCAGCTTTATCACACGCACCCTCCATGCGTTCTCAGGTTTCCAGATACTTCTAGAAGCATAATAATGATTGGTTCGCCACATGCAAAATAAAACAACATTGGTCATTTTCATGCCCATTTCAGAGTGAATGGTTTATCTTAAGTTATAAGATTATCACTTGAAAGCTGTCCCTTCAGTTGATCTTGAGGACTGAACCACAAGTGGCATTCTTAGGGGAGAGAAAAGCTCTGTAGCTTTAACTGTGGTTTGCATATGATTGTTGTAACGGCGTGCGGTATTGGCGGGGTGGGTACCCTGCCTGTCCTGGTTGTATTTTATGTGTTCTTTTCTGTGATGAAGATTTATTTAAAAGTGCAATATTTGATTTATTGAATGAATGATTGCCTCTATTTGAATAGAGTTTTACTCAGGTTCATTATCATTCCTGTTTGTTCTATAGTTTTATGTTCTTGTCCAAATAGTTTTCAAAAAACCTGAAGAACTCCTGTAGTAGAATAATCATATTTGCTCTATTTCTTTTGACTAAAAAAAATACAATGTTCTACTGAAACTCTCAGCTGCAGATTTTTTTTAATGCAGTGAAATACATACACACTCGTGCATATTATATATATGCTCTGGTTTTAGTTTTATTATGCTGCTGTAGTTTGTAATGGATACGATTAATGAAAATGAAGGGTTTTGCATTAAATTACTTTTGTTGGTACACTGATCTTAAAATTATGAAGGCATTCTTAATGAAGGACATGGTTTGTGAAAGGGAAGGGGAATCATATATTTCTTTTAGTCAATGCGCTGGCAGCATTAAAAACTGGTATGATATTTGAGTGTATTATATTGCTTTGTTGTATTTTAGTATTGTAGATTTCACTCAGCTTTCTTCAACAGAACCACCACTGCATTAAGCTTGTGAGCAAAACTGCTCACCTTGTTCAAGTTTAAGATTCGGGAATATTCCAGTGTTAATAAAGTTTGGATATAGACTGCTGTATAGAAATGTTTTTCTGGTCTATTCTGCTTCTATAATACCGAAGTTTGTCTTGAGTGGCTTCTTTTACTCTGCTCCTTCCGTAAAATAGCACTGGGTTTTGGTGTTTTTGTCCAAATGCATTCTACTTGCCTTTTGTTTAATAATTTTAGTCCTTCTGTCTTTCTCATTGTTACATATACAGTACAATCATTCACCTGTGTGAGGATGTTAAATAGGAAGCAGTCCACCTCTTAATGTAACTTTTCCTTTGCAAGTTGGTGAGAGCCCATACAGATTGATTTATAAAGACAAGATTTCTTTTGGGGGAAACAGATGCATAGGAAGACAAAGTTTTGCAGACAATTTAACAGAGAAAAGAAACTGTTTGAGGATAACAAAATGCCAATCACATAATGGTTAGAGCAGCCTTCATGGGATTTGAGTTAATTCATAGTTACCATTTTAAAAAAAACTTTAAAGGGCTTTAGATCTAGGCTGCAAAATCTGGCATGACCATTAGAGGGCAGTGAAAAGATACAGAAAATTGTCTTCAGTGCTATCTAGTCGTTGTCTAGATCAGGGTTTTTCAACCTTTTCACCCATTGTACCACTTTTAGGATATGGCAATATCCGAGTACCACCAGTCACCTAGCAAGGTGTCAAAAACTTGATGACCCATTAAAAAAAAGGAAAAAAGTGATAAAGTACAGGTAGTCCTTGACTTACAACAGTTCACTTAGTAACTGTTCGAAGTTACAATGACACTGAAAAAAGTGCCCCCCAAGCCACAGCCGAGCAAGTCACCTGCCTGTCCACCCGGCCACACTCTTCCTCCTATCCGAGGTTTTCATTGTTGTGAGCATTTTTGTTGAGGATTGGCAGCGGGGGTGGGGTGGGGGGTGTTTGGTTTATATTCCCCCCACCTGCTGGGTGGTTGCAGCAGGTTTTGGTCACTTCACATGACCCTGGGACATTGTGACCGTCATAAATATGAATCAGTTGCCAAGCATCTGAATGTAAATCACAAGACCCTGGAGATGCTGCAACATTCCAGCTGATCGGCGCTTCTTCTGGGCTCAGCAGGATCAGTGCCGAGCTCCAGCTGGAGCCTGGTGCTGATCCTGGCGCTTCCACTGAGCCCTGACAGCCCTGAAGAAGTGCTGATCCTGGCGCTTCCGCTGAGCCCTGACAGCCCTGCAGCTCCAGCCATCTCTCGCTCAGGCTTGTGCGGTGCTGCCACCGGTTCAGCTCATTCCCCTCCCCCGCTACCACTTTTCTAGGATGGTCGCGTACCACCTGCCAGGTGCCAATGTACCACAGGTGGTACCCGTACCACTGGTTGAAAAGCCTTGGTCTAGATAAGGGGTAGCTGGCTCAGGAATTCTGGGAGTTGAAGTCCACGAGTCATAAAA